ATATTTCCAGGATTAAAGCCATTCAATTCATGAAGTATTTGATCAGTTAGAGATGTAGAGTCCCTAATATCCATTTTTCCTTTTTGAATATCCTGGATGTGATGATGTAATTCCATAAAACCCAGGCTATTATTATTGCTCTGCCAAAAACCCATTAGATGATTTTTAACCTTTTCCCCAGTCTCACTGGGAAGCTTGTGTGGGCCATCATCCTTGAGCTGCATGTGGACCACCATGCATTGAGCCTAGTGGATAGGAATGTCTGGTGTCTGTGAATGACCAGTGCATATTTCCTTTGGTTTAACTGCCCTGACACACTGTGAATTTTCTTTTTTTTTTTTTTTAACATTTTTTAGTTGTTGATGGACCTTTGTTTTATTTACTGGTATGTGTTGCTGAGAATCGAATCCAGTGCATCACACATGCCAGGCAAACGCTCTGCCACTGAGCTACAATCCCAACCCCACATTGTGAATTTTCTCTCCCTCTCTGCCATGTCCCACACAGCACCCAAGAAGGGTCTGACCTGCGAAGATGCCAATCAACCTGCTGACTGCAAGACATCACAAAGCAAGACTCCACCTTTGAAACTTTATCCATGCCTTTGATGTACCCCCTGAAATCATTGGGGCCATCTTTCCTTTGTCTAGTTGCAACTCTTTTTTTTTAAGAGAGAATTTTTTTAATATTTATTTTTTAGTTATTGGTGGACACAACATCTTTGTATGTGGTGCTGAGGATGGAACCCGGGCTGCATGCATGTCAGGCGAGCGCACTACCTACCGCTTGAGCCACATCCCCAGCCCCATAGTTCCAACTCTTATGTGGACTGGATCTATCAGGGGCTTCATTTTTTTAAAAAAGTTTTTTTTTGGGGGCTGGGGATTTGGCTCAAGCGGTAGGGCACTCGCCTGGCATGCGTGTGGCCCGGGTTCGATCCTCAGCACCACATACAAAGATGTTGTGTCCGCCGAAAACTAAAAAATAAATATTAAAAAAAAAAAAAAGTTTAAAAAAAAAAAAAATAAAAAAAAATAAAAAAGTTTTTTTTTTCTAATTTGTTATATATGACAGAAAAATGTATTTCAATTCATATTCCACATATAGAGCACAATTTTTCATATCTCTGCTTGTATACAAAGTATATTCACACCATTCATATCTTCATACATGTCTTAGGGTAATGATTTCCATCTCATTCCACCATATTTCCTATCCCCAGGCCCCCTCCCTTTCCTTTGCCCTATCTAGAGTTCATCTAATCCTCCCTTGCTCCCCCTCCCAACTCCACTATGAATCAGTCTCCTTATATCAGAGAAAATATTTGACATTTGTTTTCTTGGGGGATTGGCTAACTTCATTTAGCATTCTATTCTCTAACTCCATCCATTTACCTGCAAGTGCCATTATTTTATTCTCTTATTGCTGAGTAATATTCCATTGTGTATATATGCCACATTTTCTTTATTCTTTCATGTACTGAAGGGCATCTAGGTTGGTTCCACAGTTTAGCTCTTGTGAATTGTGCAGCAATAAACATTGATATCAGGGGCTCCACTTTTGTAAATACATTTCTGACTCTGTCTTTTGTTCTTCACTAATTATTTTAGACTTTTAAGTTCTCAGGTGGCTTACACCCTTCTGAACAAGAAGAACTCCCTAATGAGATGCTGGCTATTGTTCCCTATAGGAACATTATATTTGGCTGCAGTAACACAGACATATTTCTAGTCAGCATGGCATTTAAGCCTTTATTTAAACTTGAGCGCGCATAGCTCATTACTGATATTTATGACAGTAGCTTCCAAGGCATTCAATTTAGTTTCACTCTTTCTATCAGTATTTATCTGATAATGGAGGGCTTTGGAAGTATTTTGAGCCAAATTATTGAGAAAATTTGCATATTGAATGTTCTGAGATAGAGCCACTGACCTTGTTACAGTAAAAGCTGTAAATGAGATTAAAGCAGCCACTCCAAGAATTAGGAGACCAAGAGCTCCTTTAGGTCTGGTTAACTGAACATGGATCTGTTGTAGAACTTGAACACCAGCATCAGCATACCATGGTTCTGAAATGTTGACTGGTAGTAAGACAAAGGAGGGTTGGTGAAGGATTAACATCTCTATTAAATCTATTGATGTAATTAGTTAGATTGCATCTTTTACAGGCTATAAGTATATCTATATTATTCTTAAGTCTTACATTTCCAGTAATTAAAGCATAAGGAAATTCAACACAGGTTCAAAAGCCATAGCAGGGACCCTCTTTGCAATTCCTGCCAACAAAGTCAGGAAGAGGGCCATCTGTATAGTGTAGACACTGCAATTAAACACCAGAGATCTTTTTGAATAATGCCTTTGCTGAAGGTTAGAATATTATCAACAAAACATCCAGGGGTCATGGCATCCTTACATAGTTATCTTTTATCAATTATTGAAGACCAGTCCAAAATATATCCACTATTTTTAGAAACTATCTGTACTGACTGGCAAGACATTTACACATTCCATCCATTAAGGAAATGTGCCAAATTTTTACATAAATATAATTATATAGATATATATATATATATATATATATATTAGTTGTAGATGGACACAATATCTTTAGTTTATATATATATGTGGTGCTGAGTTTTAAATCCAGTGCCTCATGCATGCAAGGCAAGTGATCTACCACTGAGCTACAACCCCAGTCCCAAAATGTGCCAAATTCTATTGCAGAATGATTAGAGCAATAAGGTAGTGGTAGTTTTGTTCTGTTGAAATGACTGGCTTTTTATGAGAAAGTCCATATAGTCCACATATATATGGACTATATGGACTGTCTCATAAAAATCTGGGAAATAGGTCCAATAAATTTCTCCATAGACCCCACTTACCTGACAACTCAATAGATCTATCATGGTCATAAACATTGTGGTTGGAAACTTAATTTCTCCTTGTTGTTGAATCATCTGCTCAGCTTTTGCATCAGATTCTTCAGTTATTTCCATGATGGTAGTTTGAGAGTTTGGTCCCTCAGGGTCTTTTTCATTATTTTCCTCCTTACTAGCTTCCTGTTCCTGCTGGGAGTCAGGGTTGACATCTCTGGATCTATCTTTAGTGATTTGAACCTTGGCTCCATGTCCTCCATATATGATGGTACCCAAATAACACCTTATGGTAACTTCTGGGAAAAACCAATCATGACCTATACCCCACATTATCACTGGATCTGATCCTTTCCACTGTCCTGTTGTAAATCTTTTCATCAAACTAGGCCCAAAAAACCTACGGCAGTAATGCAACCTTCAGTGAATGAACAATGATTAAGGTTATTTTGTGGAGTCTTATTTCCCCACCTTTTGCTTTTGTAATTGTGGTTTAATAGATAAATTCAATAGGTTTAGCACCTCCAACCTTCTATGCATTATCACTATTAAATAAAACTTATAAATCAATATAACATGCCGTCCTCAGTTATCAATGATGAGGACTGGGTCATAACATTGCCCTCTATACAAAAACAAAACCTCCCCGCAGGAACCAAGAAACGCTCACGTAGAGAAAACTCCCATTACACTCTTCAGTGGAGCCTTAGCCCCTGCTTTGGCCGTGCTTTTTAGAAGGACGGGAACCCAATGGTGCCCCTGCGAGAATACATTAAGACTTTTGCCGCAGGCCAGCTGAAAACAGGAACGAAAAAGAAACAAATGCTGCGTCCCTCCTAAATGTAGCAAACTGAAAACATAAAAAAAGAAACACACTATGGCAGTTTCCAACCCAGCCGCCGAGAACACCACAACCATACAAGTAAAGACAATCTTATTTTAGACTCACGAATTTATCCCCCGAGGGGGGTGCACCGTTCCTGGAAGTACTGCAATACCAGGTCGATGCGTGGAGTGGACGGAGCAAGCTCCTATTCCATCTCCCTGCTCCAAAAATCCATTTAATATATTGTCCTCGGATAGAGGACGTATCAGATATTAAACTGATAAGAACAGATACTACACTTGATCTTAGCCAAAAGGCCGAGAAGCGATAACGGGTTGATGACCGGCACCCGTTCCACTCGTCGCGCCACACATCTTCAGCTCACGGTGAGAACCGTCACGCTCAATTAAAGACTCACCCTCACGCGAGTGTGACTGTGCATAAAGGATTCAACTTGGAAAACATAAAAATGTTGTCAGATTATTGCTATTCGGGGGGAAACTTTCACCTTTTTCTTTGCTCCCATAGCTCCCAGGAGAAAGAGACACTGTAAATTTGCATGTCCCGCCCCACACAAGCGGTGCCGGGCCTTCGGTGCCCGCCCTCTCGCCTTGAAATAGAACACCGCCTCTAAAACAATTTGCTAGAAAGCTCTTCCGGCCTCATTGCCCCGGAACCAGGATTTTCCTCCTGGACGAGGAAGACGCAAACAACTCTACGAGGTTTTTCTTCCCAGCATTCTTCTTTGTTTTTAATCTTTCAGTATTTTCTTTTTTTAAGAGATGAAGTCAACTTTCTGGAGGTTGAGGTGTCGGTCTCCAGAATGTAGTCCCCGGAGGAACGCACGCTCTCGCGGCCTCAAGGGGTGGACAGAGTCTTGGCAAAGGGGGCCCTCGGAGGATCTACGCCGTTAGCGGAGCTAAGTCCGCGGCTTCTAGGGCAGGAGGGGAGGAGCCTGGAAAGGCAGAGGAAACCGCTGGTTCAGACGCCGGTTCAACGACCGGCGTGGGACCCCCGAGTAGCTGGGGCGGGGTCACCAAGAGGAGACCCGGTGGGAGAGGGCGTGGCGAGCAGGTCGGGCGGGGACTTGTGGGCTCTCCTACTGGGGAGAAAGCGAGAGGCTCTGAGCGTGGGCCGCGGCGCGAGAGGGAGGTACCACGACTTAATACTTCTGACTGGCCCGACGCGGGGGCGAGTGCAGAGAAGCGGAAAGGCCGGTGAGGAAAGGGGGATTGCGTTCTCCCAGGAAAGAGATAGTGAGCGCTTGGGCCCGGGGTTGTGGCAGTGCAGGGGGTGCGCAGTGGCCAGATTCTGGTTGTATTTTGAAAGTAGAGCCGCCGGCATTTGCGGACAATCGGGGAACATATGGGTGTGAAAGAGAAGAGTGGACGGTGACTCCAGCGGTTCTGGCCAGAGCTACTGGAAGGAAGGACACGGTTGTCATATTCTGAGTTGGGCGAGGACCAAGTTTGTCGAGGAGGCTGGAGGTGGAGGCGGAGCGAGGTGCGTGTTGCCCTGTTTGCAGCTCAGTTTAGGAGAGCACAAGCTAGAGATGGCGCCCCAGAGAGTCAAGAGGAGGTGGCAGGTAGGCAGCTGGGTGTACCAGGCTGGACTGCAGCCTGGAGCTATTTTGAGGACTGTCAGCAGAGAAGTGAGGACCCTCGGCCAGGAGTTGGGAGGAGCTCCCCAAGGGAGAGGGTGTCCATCCGGCACAAGTAGAAGGGCGGAGCCGAGGCATGAGCCCACAGTCAAGGACATTAGAAGGACAGGCAGAAGGAAAATCTGGAGAGCAAGGTGTTCTGGAAACCAAGCCCAGAAGGTATTTCAAGAACGAGGGACCGCCCAACCCAGTAGAGAGCTGCTGAAGGATTCCGGTGAGGTGGGGGGATTGGAGATGGACCTTGAGGAGAGCAGTGCACAAGAGACTGACTGGGGCAGGTTCAAAAGAGGGCAAGATCCAAACCCAGGGTCATTCTACAGAATAAGTATCCTGCAGTCTTCAAAGAAAGTGCCGGTTGTGAAAGACGGCGCAAAGGCAGAAGGGCACGGAACGAGAATTGGCAACTAAATGCAGCAAGGGATTCCAGACTGGGTCCTGGGCCCGGAAAACAAATCTCTCTAAAGGACGCTTTGGGATAGCTGGAGAAATCTGAACTTGGGAGTGTAGCTTATAGTATGGTGTTCATGTCAAACTTCCAGATGGCCATGTTCCCAGGAAACACACACTTAAGTTTATCTGGGGGGTGAAGGGACATTGCATGTGCAACCTACAAGTGGTTCAATAAAGAAAAATATATGGGTGGGTGTGTGTGCGTGGGTGTGTGTTTGGGGGGAGAATATTATAAAAGGAGAGAGTTATAAAGCAAAATGTGGCCCTGTTGACGGTTGGCAGACCTGGGTAAAGGGTACGGAGAAATTCTCTGTATAACTCTTGTAACTTCCGTGTGTGTGTGTGTGTTTTGAATGGGAGATTGAACGGGGGCGGGGCGGGTCGCTTTACCAATGAGCCATATCCCCAGCCCTTTGTTGAGACAGGGTTTCACTGAGTTACTTAGAGCCTCGCTCAAATGCTGAGAATGACCTGGAACTTGCTGTCCTCCTGCCTCAGCTTCCTGAGCCGCTGGGATTACAGGAATGCGCCACCACACCCCGCCAAGTGTGAAGTTATTTTAAGATTATTTCAATAATGTAGAGAGAGGATGAGAGGAAAGTTGGGAGGGAAAAATATAGACGACTGTTTGTGTTATGGGCCAGGCTACATGGGAATGACCAAACAGACTTCATTTTACTCTGAGACTCATGTCATATAAGAAATGCTTGTCCCATGGGAAAGCCCCGCCCTCTGTACCCATCAACAGTTAGTTTAGCATGTTTGGCAACACAAAATGGCAATTCCTATACAATGTAAAATTTTTCTCTCTTTGGTTCCCATTTTGCTTGGACAATGTACCCTCTCAGAGAATGATTGCTCAGCCGTTAGTAACCATTCTTTAACTTGTACTCAACTAGGGTGGTTTTGACCCACTTCCCCTTCTCCTTATGATTTTGGATCCCATGACATTTGTTTGTGGTTTTGAATCATAGCAACAGCCACTTATGATTAATATGGTTTTGGACTATAAAAGGTGTACTCAAACCCCAGGAGGGGGTCGAAGGGTGTGGACTTGCAGCCTGGCCCTTGGCCTGCCAGCTGGTGGGTCCGGACTGCCGGCTGGTGAATACAGATGGTTCCGTCTCCTGCTTTTCGGTGATTTATTGCAACCTCGCCATAACATTTGGAGGAATTTTCCTGCAAAAAGAGAAATGGGGTGGTAGCTAGAGGGTGAAGTAGGTAGAGTTTATGTTAAGGAGGAAAGAAATAATACAACTTACATCCTGGTGGAAGAAGTCCAATCCAGAAGCGAATATCGATGAGGAGGGAGAAGAGAGTAGGAGAGAGTTGCCAGTGGCAAGGAGGGGTGCCCAGGTGCAGGGCAGGCCTTTGCCAGGAGCTGTGGCGGCTCATCTGCAGCACCTGGGGGTGGGAGTGGGGTCACAGATTTAAGAGGTGGGTGGATACGTCCTGGGAACTCCTGGAAGCCTCCTGATTGTATCTGCAGGATTTCCTCCTTGGGAAGCAAGGTAGTCAGTCAGCTGAGAGGGGGGCAGGTTGGAGAGGAAAGTAAGAAACAGATGTCTGGAAAAGTGGAAGATGAATGGAGTAGGGAAGAAGAAGATGAGTTAGCTGCTCTGCTCTGAGGGCAAAGTTACTCACCCCTTCTTCAACCTCCAGGGTGCGCGGGATCCAGGGTTATAGTTGTTCTTTGTTGTGGATTGAATGTTGATGTCCTGCCCCCAGCCCCAACACCCATTCCTGTGTAAAGGCCTAAACCCCCACTGGGGCTGTGTTTGGATCTGGGGCCTCTGTGTAAGAAAGCGATTAAGGATAAATGAGGTCATAAGGGTGGGACCCTCATCCAGTAGGATTCCTGTGTTTATATGACATCACAGGAAAGGGGCAAGGGAGCTGAGAAAATATGCAAAGAAATTAATCCAGGTAAATGGAGATGGAGGGAGCCTGGGGGCAGGGGAAGGGGAGGCAGAGGAAGAATAGTGAAAGGTGGCAACTGGAAGGTGGTTAGAGAGTGTCATACTAGAAGTGGACAAGGTTTATAGCAGTTGTTAAGGACAAGATCCAGAGCCAGACCACGGGAGTGGTTGGCAGGGGTAGGCCCAACGTCCAGCAAAGGTGTTGGAGAGATATTTGATAGACAAAAAATAGGAAAGAGTGGCTCTGGCCTGATCAAGGAGCAACAGTAGGCAGGTACCTGGGATAGGCTCGAGTGGTTGCTGAACAGGGAAATGGAGGAACACGGGCTCAGGAGCCCAATCGCCCCTCAAAAGAAAGAAAAGAAGAGCGGAAAAAGCAAAGAAGCAAGAAACGCACAGAGAAGAAAATAAGCAGTAAAGAGAATAAACAAAAGGGAAGACAGACCTAGAAAGGCAAAGTTCACTTAAACTGCTTTTGAACACTTCATGGGTGAGGAGTACACCGTTCCTGGAAGTACTGCAATACCAGGTCGATGCGTGGAGTGGACGGAGCAAGCTCCTATTCCAACTCCCTACTCCAAAAATCCATTTAATATACTGTCCTCAGATAGAGGACGTATCAGATATTAAACTGATAAGAACAGATACTACACTTGATCTTAGCCAAAAGGCCGAGAAGCGATGCTGTCCCACTCGCCCCTCGCCCTCACCGTCCTCCGCTGGCTCACTTTTAACTCGCGGTGAGCACCACGATGCCTACTCCTACTCTCTTTTTCCTGGTGTCTCCTTGGGCATCCCATCGGGCCTACTGGACCTTCGTGAAGGTTCCCGATTGGCCCCTTAGATCGAGGAATTTTAGCTGCCCTTGGCGGCTCTGGCGTTCAGGGGCGGGGGCGCCCTCCAATACTTTGCATGTCCCCGCCCCCTCACCGGAAAGGCGTGGCTACCGTGGGTCCCTTCCACCTGGCGACCGCTTCCAGGTCTCCAGGCAGCCCAGGGCGGGCTCTGCTCCCACTTCCAGACATACCGAGACCAGAGAGGACCAGCGACTGCCGCTGACTCCGAGTCCAAGTCGGAGCCAGGAGCTCCGGAAAGCCAGAACTCGGTTTTGTTCCACGCACCTACTTCACACTCAATCAGTAACTCTTCAGTGAATGAGATCGTGCCTCCCACACGCTCGGCCAAACCCCGACAAATCGAGCTTGGGATGGCTCCTTCTCAGTACTTCCCTGCTTCTTCAGGCCATCTGCCCAATGATTCGCGTCCCCGTGTGCTTTCATCCCGAGAAGGGGACGTCGCGGCTCCCCTTCACTGGAATGGAACGCTTCCCGCCTCAAATGATTGACCTTTCGGTTTTCTCCTTGTGATTCACTCCCGTGGAGTTTGCTCAGATCCACGTGCACTCAATGCTGGGCCCTGGTCGCGCTGTGTGCAGAGGTTGGCCGGATGTCCTTGTGCTTTTAATGAAAGCGCACCGCGGTGTCCTGGTGATCCCGACCACCCTCGCTGCACCTGAACCTTGAATTTCTAGGGGATCCAGAACGTGGAGGGAGTTCTCAGGCAGCGCCACTCGCTCCAGCCTGGTCCTCAACACCTCAAACTTGGGATTGCTTGCTTTGGGGCGGTCTGGGCCGGGGATGGGGGCAGGTGGAAAACAGTCTAAGGCAATAGATACTTTTTTTTTTTTTTTTGGTACTGGAGACTCAATTCACGACCCTTAGCCACTGAGCCACATACCCACCCCACCCCACCCCCTTTAAAAAAATTATTTTCTAGTTGTACACAATAACTTTATTTTGTTTATTTATTTTTATGTCGTGGGAGGCCAACCTTACACGTGACTGAGTTACACTCCCCGACTGGGTGCTGAGGCGCTCAGTCACAGAAATGTGGCACCCTTCTTGGATGCGAGGGTCGGTGTCTTGTGCATGGGTGTGTCTTGCTACAGCCCCATGGGTGAAGCTATGCTCACCTGTTCCTTTGTAATAGAACCCCTTGCCCTGTTAAGGATAGAATCTTCCATGGAAGTGCCTTGTGTGTGTCCCCTTCTCTTACTGTGCCCTTGGGTGTGGCCTACCCAGGTGTCAGTCAACCTACTGACAGTGGACATCATGAAGATACTCAGCCCCCTGAAACCTGACCCCTTGCCTCATTTGAATAGCTTCTCCTCAATAAAAGGGGTCAGCGCGTGCTCTCGCTCTCTCTCTTTCTGCGGACCCTTAAGGTCAGAGGAGCCGTCACAGCAACCCCAAAGAAAAAGGTATTTGTGTCTCTTGTGTGGTTATTTCGTGCAGCCCAGTTAGCCCAGTTTAACTAGAGTGACCCCAGAGCCTTTTAGTCGCGAGAACAGAAATCCAGCATTATGTGGTGCTGAGGATCGAACCCAGTGAGCGCTCTACTACTGAGCCACAACCCCAACCCCCTCCCCATCCCTTTTTTATTTTTAGACAGGATCTTGCTAAGTTGCTGAGGCTGACTCCCAACTTGCAATTCTCCTGACTCAGCCTCCCGAGTCGCTGAGATTACAGGCGTGCTCCATCACACCCTGCTACGTGGCTTATTTTTAAAATGACATGTCTGTCTTTTTCCTCCTTTTTTTCCTCTTCTGCTTAACTCTCTCCTTCCCTAACAGTAGGGAAAACAATATTAGACCAGGACGCAAAGAAAAGACCACTGACTCCAATTAAAATCAAATTAAAGCAAGCATATTATTTCCACCCTCGGGGCTGTCTCTCCCAACAAAAACTGAGGGAACAAGACAGCACTGCAGGTTTCTTGCAGCCCAGTTTTATAGCCCAGAAAGTTACACAAAGCGGGTGCGGGTGGGGGGTTATGGATAACAAAACTCTGAGGAGCATAACACAAAGGCTAGTTTACATTTTTGCTGGCTCGACATCAGAATTTATGAAGGTCATTAGAGCCTCAGAGAGGGTCGTTATCTGGTCAGGGAAGGCCAAGATTTATGAGGCCTCACTAAAGTTCTAGAGAGGGCTGCTATCTGGTCAGAGAGAACCAGGCATGGGTGAGTTCAAGGCACAGGCACGGGCAGGCCTTCCAAGCAAGTTCAGAATTTGCAGTCATTTATAGTAAAGCTGACATTAGCCTTTCATGTCTTTGTGGCGGGATGGCTCCCAATTTTAAGAGGGAATCAGACTGGGTCTATCAACAAGACTAAAACATTTGCCCTGTTCCAGGCCAAGCTCACTTCACTGCCCTCACTGCCGCCTGGAACAGTGTCACTGCCCACAATAAAATAAAAACAAACAGGGG